TACACGACCTAGCAAGCTTAATTGTTTCAGCCAAGAAAACTTTTCTAACTCCCAAGTCCCAAGAAAAAATGGGTCTTGATATATCAGAAGACCAATTCAGGCCAATAACTCCAGTGCGAGTTGTCATTCCTATTCCACGAGCTTTAAACAACACAAAGGAGGAGGAGGAGGAGGAGGCAGCCGCGGCGGAGGAGCTTTTGCATTTGGAACATGAAGAAGAATGCCACACACCCAAGTCACCTGCTGCTCACGTGATGGCGAAGCAACCACCATTAGTGTGCCCACCACCACCCAAGAAACCTCGCCAAGCTGCCAGAAGAAATTTTAGGAGGTTATGGCCTTCACAATCACAATGCTTTTTTAAGGTTCCAGACAATCTCGAATCACTCTTTATGGTTATCACTGGTACAAATACTCCTGCCAAAAAGATCAGAACCAGTTAAGGTTGTGATATTTATGCTGTGTTAGTACGTAGTTTTTGAAATTAACATCATGAAGTGCGTTCTTCTTGGAAGAGAAAATATTTCTTTTATTTATTATTTTTGTATTTTCGTATTGTAATTCTCCAACACATGATCTCTTCTCTTCTCTTCGTCCTTTTCTTTGCAACCCAATTGTTATTGGCAACAATATAAATCGCTGTAAATGGCAAATGTTTATGTTGTATTTCAATTACGATTGACTACAATTTTTTATTTTGTGTATTTTTGGATTGAAGACCATTCTCCCTTTTTAGTTCTTATACCTCTCCTTTCATACGATTTTGAAATTTTGAGCAACTTTTCTTGTACAATTAAGCCTGAGATGCTAAAATTAGGTTTATGTGGAATTTTATGATATAATTCTTTTCTTTTTTAGGAGATAAATATAGAGGGTACAATTATGTTTAGCATAGAAAATAGGAAGTTCTTTCTAGAAAAGCACATGTTGTGTACTTTTTTTAATAAGCACTTCAAATGCATTTTTTGAGAGTGCTTGCATTTTTATTAAAAATTTCAATGTTCTTATAACAGAAGAGATTTTACTGAACGTGTTTCAAAGCAAAAGTTATTTTTAAATAGCAATTCCAAATGAGTCTAAAGAGATATTAGGGTTTGCTTAGAGAAATGTGTTTGTGTCATATGGGACCATGAATTTTGCTGGGACGAAATAAGGCGGATCGGATTACAAATACCTGGGGAATAGTCACAGACTCAAAGAGTCAGATCGGTCTAAGCTACCTAAATGGGGACAAACGATGCCACACATTCTGTTGAGCTCCAGAATAGTAAGCGAGGTCCCCTGACCTTGCTGAGATCAACCATGCTTGGTCTTCAAGGTACAAAAATCTGATCCAACTGGGACCATATTGGTTTCTTATAATCTTGGAGATTCACACAATCCTACAAGGAAACAATATATTTGCTAGATATCCTTTGGAATTCTCTTGGTTTAATACGGATATCATTATCCTAAAAAAACTCTCTCCCGACTAGTTTAAATACCCTCATCTAGGGCATATCTTTGGTAGTGGTTTCATACACATACTTTGCTTAATAGCCCATTGCTTGAGTTTTATATCATATTTATACTAATTTGACCGAGAAGAGTCTTTGGGTACCCAAGGTTATTCGCAGTTGTTTGCTCTTGTTTGTAGGTGGCCGAATTTGCACAATTCAACCACCTACAATGGTGCAAAACTTTGGTTCCAACATGTCCCATATTCTAATTTTAATTACAATATGAAATAAATTTAAATAGGAAACATATCATCAAATTATAATAATAACCAATGTTCTAAAAGACGCTAGTCAGGCGACAGATTGGGGCCTAGGGCCTACGCCTAGGCGCCCAGGCAAGGACTAGGTGGGGGGCCTAAGCGGACTAGGCGGATTTAACTAAGTTTACTATATATTGTATAAATAAGTGTCTATTTATGCTTAAAAAACACATATAATTATGTTGGTATACATAAATTACAAAAATAAAATGAGATATATATTATAAAGTATTAGACCATATTAAAAACATGGGGAACAAGCATATAATGAGTGTTCATCAAAGTATTCAACAAGTCTCTTACATCTTATTGAAAGTCATCGATTTTTGAGTAAATTACATAGAAACCCCTCAGGTTTGAGGTCTATTACAACCTCATACAACATCTTTAAAACATTTCACTTTCATACCTCACGTACTATTTTATTTCAAAACAACACCTCCGTTAGATTTTCCTTCCAATGGTCTGTTAAATGCTGAACGTAATTGCCACATTTGTGCTGATGTGGCTGCCACATGGCAAAAAAAAAAAATTTATACATTAACAATATTATAATATTAACCCTAAAAAAAATAAAAACTAAAAACCAGAAAACCTGAACCCAGATCCCCTTCCGCACAACCCCACATCTCACCCCCACCCCCTCACCCATCTCTTCTTTCCCGTCCGTCCGTCCCTACCCCCTTACCCATCTCTCCCACTCTTCTTCTTCCTCCACACCAACCCCAACACACTCCCTGACACCCTTTTTTCAATTCCTTCATTCCCTCTCCTTCTCTAGGGTTTGAACTTTGAATTCCACCCATCTCCCGCCTTTTCCCCCGCCACCCTCTGCCTCCACGCGTCTCCTTCCTCCAAAACCCATATCCCCCTCCACTTTTCCCACCTCAAAGCCCCCACCTTTAATCACTTATTTGCTTTTTTTTTCACTAGTTTTCTTAACCCCTGCAACCCAAATACCTACAACCCACTACCTGCAAAACCACAACTCGCAACCCACTACCTGCAAAACCACAACCCACAACCCAAATACCTGCAACCGTCGCCCGAGGGGGGTCGCGAGCTTATCATCGACGAGAAGGGCAGAGGTGCCTAGGTGGGTCGTCGCGGGGGAGGGGGGGTGGATCACGGTAAATGGGTCGTCGCACGGGGAGGGGGGGTTTCACAACAAGTGGGTCGTCGCGCTGGGGGGGGTGTTCACAGCAGATGGGTCGTCGCGGGGGAGGGGGGGTTTCACAGCAAGTGGGTTGTCGCGAGGGGGGAAAGGCAAGTGGGTCTTCAGCGGGAGGGTGAGGGGTTTGGTTTCTTTTTCTTCTGGGGGAGTTACAGATAGGTGGGGGAAATGAAGGCCACGTTAGCATTTAACAGACCATTGGATGGAAAATCTAACGGAGGTATTGTTTTGAAATAAAATAGTACATGAGGTATGAAAGTGAAATGTTTTAAAGTTGTTGTATGAGGTTGTAATAAACCTCAATACCTGAGGGGCTACTGTGTAATTTACCCTCGATTTTTTGCCTGAGTGAAAGTCAAGACCTAGGCGGGTTTAGGCGAGCTAGGCAGACGCCTAAGCGGGTCTAGGCGCACTTTCAAAATTTTCAAACATCTGTGGACTAATCGAGGTGGTGGCCAGCCGCCTAGCACCTAAGCAATGCTAGGCGGAGATTTTTAGAACAGTGATAATTACAATTAATCAACAGCCTACAAGTGAGCTGACATTATCAACATCCCTCAAGATGGTGCATAGATGTCGCTACTACCCAACTTGCCAAATGAGATTTACCTGACCTATATTTGTCAAGATATTTGCCAATTGATCTTCTTTATAAATTATCTTTCTACCTCTACATGTTTGGTACGATTATGTTGAACTAGATTCATCACAAACTTACAAGCAAATCCAAGTTCTGTAAGCAGTCTTCTAAACCAAATAATTTTATAAGTCCTTTAGCCATTTCTCTACACTCAACTTGTCACACCCCGATCCCAAGCTACGTCCAAAATCGGTACGTGACGTTAGAACGTAACTGTACATTATGAGGTACAAGGTGAACCTAGTCACTCCAAGCGCTCATTCTCCATCACTATTGCTAAAGACACCTCATACCTACAAAAACATATAAAAAAGGTCGTACCGAGTACAAAAACATATCAAATTGCAAAAACGCCATCTACACCATGGAAATGGTGTATTGGGAAAAGAAAACTTGGATAAGTTATGAAGCTCGTGTGAGTACCAATAATATTACTTATGTGATCAAAAAGTTAATCGATCTCATTTATAGAACATTTCAGAAATCCTTTGCATGTATAAAGTAATCCTCGCTCCGCAAATCTCGATACGATACACACAAGCATTCAACCGATTTTTCGTTCATACATATAATAAAATAATAGGGCTAGAACCACCCTCACAGCCTTGTTCCACACCGCTTGTGTCACAATCAACAAACTCTTGCTTGGACAAAGCCATTAATTTACCAGTTGTAAGCTTAGTAATTCCTTCCATGGCTGCCACTGCTGAAGAAGTCCAACAACATCCTGCAAGCATTTTATTACAATTAAATATCATGTTGTTTTTGTAGTATAAATTAAATAGTGGTTAATTTAATGGACATAGATTCGTATTTAGAGTACAAGAAACCATTTGGTTAAGTTTCAAGATTGTCTACAAATAAAATTGATTACCACATTGGCCTTGGTCCTTGGTTGGTGTCACGGCTCCTTTCTTTCTCCAATCTACAGTTGGCGGTGTTGTAGCATTTTCATATGGGGTGTGCCATCCATACACACACCCCTTTTTTACTTCTCACCATACATTTCTAATTTTCGGTTGTCAGATCGGATGCATTAAAGAATATCAAAGAATAAAAATTAACAGAGGCGTGAGAAGTAAAAAATGTGCGTGAATAGCATATCCCTTTTTAGATTTGAATGAAGTCTTTGTGGAACATTCGTGCCCCATGAATCCATTTAGGCTTTGAATTCTTCATTTGTAAGGTCTGCAAATTGATTGACGGTCAACTTGTAAGGTTTTGTTTTGCATCACTATTGGAAGATTCTATAGACTCCACGTTTTCCTTGAATATATTGAAACACTTCTCCTCGTTAATGTCGGTATATGCACATCCATAACAAGCCATTCATTGCTCATATTTTCCGTACATTGATGCATCTTGGAGAGTGCGAGACGTGGCTTGAGAAGACAAAGCCCCCAAAATAAGGATCAAGGCCAGACAAATACAGTTGCAGTAGTAAGTCAATATTTGCTAATTCTAATTACAATAAGTGGCAAGACCTGCACCAATGAAAGTTGTAGTGCAGTCCCTTGAAATGTTTCGATAACTAGCGTCGCAGTATCATTAACATTTGAATCCATTCCCTGACCATGTCTAGTGATCGAACAACATTTCTATGCTCTGAGAAATTATATCTATCATAATTTGTAGACTGTCGCTGTTCAACATTGCAAAATATATATAGAAATTATGGGACGAAAGATGAGTCTTCCTAACACAACACACCCTTAAGTGACGCGAATTAAAAGAACCACCATGATAAATACACATGTCATGACAAACATCAGAAGCCATGTGAAACAAGTAGTCTTGGATGTCTTCGAGTATATACCTGCTGCCCGTGTAGTGGCGTGACCAGTGCTTGCCAAGCTACTTTCAACAGCCTTCTCTGTAGAATCAAGTATCTGCACACATGCCATAACTAAGTTATGAGATCAACATACATGTCATTCCATCAGCACTCCATTTACATCCAAGACACACCAAAGAGTAAATAGATAAAAAAATTTATGTAACAATCGATGTTGCATTATTGCTGGGAACATTTTCCAATGATTGCCATATATCTGAATATTAAAGGGTTTTCGCTTGTGACAACATACGTTCCATTACAATCATGACTAGCACAGTCAACAGCTTATATAAGAATACATATTGTATTCCAAATTTTTCAGAGATCCAATAAAAGATACTCAGCAGCGTATCCTTCTTTTCCTATTGCAAGCCTCCCCAAACCCCTTTACGGTAAACTATTTCTTATTGTGTTATTCAACTTCCTTCTTTATTTTAAATTTATGAACATGGAAAACCGGATCAGATTCATATTGCAAGCTTCCCCAAACCCCTTGACTGTAAACTATTTCTCAACAAAAATTAAATCAGTTCTCCTGTTACCACTTAAATTCCTCGACAGATTTTTTTTTTTTTTTTAAATTTTTAGCCCCCCGTCTCTTAGGACCTCATTACAGTCCCAACATTCGTTTCTTTGTTTAACATTTTCCTTTTCAAGAATTTCTCCTAATCTCACACCCTCTAAATCCAAAGCAATATTCACCAAAACTTCCCTTCAGTGTCGCCCTAAACAAATCAAACCACTGCCAGCTAAATCCAAAAAGTATTGACTCTATAGACATTACAACATCCTGCAATAGATATTTCAGGGTACTTACTTTTTCAGTGTTTTCCAGGGAGTGACTCATCATGAGACTACTCTCTTTGAGCTGCCTAGCCAATCCAACCATTTCGTCCGTCAAATCCTCTTGAAGCTTTCTGTAAACAAGAGAGAAAAGTTTATAAGAATCGAAAACATAATGTGGAAAGTAATTAACATTTGAAAGTCTTAACGGCTGAATTGTGCGTGTTCTACTTTATGGACATCAATTGACTTGGGATTGAGGAAATTTCCTCTCTTAACAGTAACTGTATCTACTCTGATGGGTTATCTGGTTCAAGGTCACATTATTCGAGCCACCATCTGTTGGCAATTGTGTACAAACATGCAGAGGGATCTTAGAATCACTGCAGATGGCAGGAAAGACATGGGTTGGCCATGGACTAGGGTTGCTACAATTTGGATGGTCCTCCTAGTTCCTTAAGCACTCTGAATAACAGAGAGGCTGGGGGCTGTAGGCCAAGATTTATCTTTGGGCAGCGTCTTGTGTTTGTTACCATCAAAGTAAAGCAAGAAATTGTACAGAAAGAAGGAACACATCCCAAAGTTGCCTGACTATTGTTCTAAACTTATCTGATGTCCCAAGTGAGCATCCGTGTCCTTTCTATTTGTACAAAAACCATATGCATTTTTTTAAGCAACAATCAACTTCTATTTTTACTAAAACAAAAGTAACTTCATATTGAAAACACATATAATTGCGTCACTGTGTTAATTAATGACTAACATCCTAGAACTCCCATTTTCAATTTCATCCAGTCTCATGACTCCAGTTTAATAGAAAAAATTGAGATACTGTGAATATACCTATGCTTTTCAATGTGTTCTTGGGCTGCAGCATCCAGTTTGACAGGCCCTGAAGAATCAACACCAGCAGTCTCACGAGTTCCATCTTCAGTACTTGAGATTGGCCTGTTTAACAAAAACACAGTTAAAATAAAACAAGTTATTGCAGACAAAATATCACTAAGAAGGAGCTGAAACCATAGTGATAAGAAGGAGCTGAAACCATAGTGATCCCAACTATCATTCACTTACACAAATCTCCTTCTCAAACCTGGAGAAGGGGGAATCTGATTGTCTCCTGTATCAGAAGAGTTTGCTTTGACAGAAATTCTTGCAAGGGGCTCTTCGGGTGTTTGAATATCAGGCTGGGAATTGGCGAAAGAAATCACAGTTAGGAGCAAGGAACTCCATATATTGCACATATATACATTACATTCTTCGACCAAAAAACAAACAATACATTACATTCTAAAGAAATATTTGCTTGCCAAACTGTTAATCGGGTATACTATGCCAGATTCATAATATTCAATATACCATGTCAGATATCTAGCAATAGAACATTATCCATATATTACAGATTCACTCTTGAGATGCCATGAACTGACACAACAAATTACACGCAGCATGAAATGGTGTGGACACTTGAACTATAAACTATCTCTAGAAATTGTTCCCCGCATAAGAACTAAAAGCTGTCCAACCATCCACCACAGCTGAGAAAAAAAAAAACCTGTACTATTTTAGTTGTCATGTCAACCAGTCTCCCAAGAAATTTGTTTCAGCCTAACAATATTTTGTTTCGCATACCTTATCATTATAATTTCCCGGCTTTCAAACTAAATCTACTATTAGTAAAATTGATTCGAATCATAGAAATTCACAGAACATTGTAAATTAAAGTACACATTTTGCCAATGTAACTGGTTTAAAGTACATAAAACCAACACTTCAACAAAAGGCAACGTGTATGCTTTCTAGATCATATGCACGCACCGGTGGAGCAGCTAATTTGGAAGCAATGGCTTCAATCTTCTCTGAATAGTCACTCAAAACAGCCTTTGAAACTCTGGGTATAAAATTGAAGATAATGATATCAATTAGTAAACTAAGAATGTTGCAAACTCTTAAGTAGGGCACAGTATCAAGAAAATACATAGAAATAGAGAAGATGAAAATGTTGATCTGTGTAGCCACCATTAGTACCCAGTATCAAGAAAATAGTGTTTGGAATGTGAATCAATATTTCCATCATACCTACCAAAATCTGTAACGGTTCGTAAGGTAAAAGAAAGGAAGCGTATTGGAACATGCATCAAACTATTGAACAAATAATCGTTAAACAAAAGTAAGGGAGAATATAAAACACATACTGACCTTGGTAAGCCTTCTGGAGTTCTCTCTTCAGCTAGTTGTTCTACCAGTTCTCGTAAAGTAGCAACATACTGCAAAGTAGCTGTACTTAGTCATCCATAAATGGCACATATCCCCAAAGCAAAAACCAACAAAAAAAACCTAGAACTGTAAATATCACGCCGAGAAAACAGAAATAGTTGGCACAAAGCAATTACCTGCAAATGGATAAAACTTTGTAACCTATAATTCTAATAACAACATACATGTACAAGTTTTGCCTGGTTCTGTTGCTGAGGCGCAGCTGCAAGCAGCCTCTTCAAATTCACCTCTGTTTTACTGATTCTCATCCCAAAATCCTACACCATTGAACAAACATAAAACAACAAACGATTCAACACTCAACAAACATTCAACCTACACCCATGAAACCATCACTTCTTAGTAAATGATCTCTATGCTTTGTTTTTTATCTAAACCACTTCTTAGTAAATGATCTCTATGCTTTGTTTTTTATCTAAACGTCCTATTATCAAACAGCTATTTGAAATGGTTTGAGTTATAAAACCTGACCCTGAACAGGCCTGGCTCTTATCAAATAGCTCTCGAAAATTCGATATGCGAAAACCGAAACAAAGAAATGGATCCCAAATCTCATCCCACAATGAACAATGACCCAAAGTTACATGAACAAAAACAATAGGAACATTTCAAGCTGTACAAAACTAAACACATCATACATCCAATCCCATACCATTCAAAATTCCAATACCCAATTGAAAAGAATAAATAGAAAGTGTTCAAAGCCTAACCTTTTAATTCGCCCAAACAAATTCCAATTGAATCGTTCGTCAGTCTCCCGCAGCTAAAATCAAGAATTGGGTTCTCTTCGTTTACTGGATTTTGATTCCGAAAATGGGATTTATTTGAATTTGATGATTGCCTGCGAACAGGTTGCGAACCAGCCGAGGAGATGAAGGGGGTCAGTTTCTCTGGTGTTTTCTTCTTCGATTGCAGACCAAAGATTGATGGAGGTTGAAGGAGAAGAACAGGAAATGAAAAAGTTTCTACCACACGAAACTCGACTTTTATGTCACTTTTCCTACTTGAACTCAAATTTGCCACAATCCCTACAACTCGATTTTTGGTAGAACAACTCCACTGTGGGAAACCTCCGGCTATTCACTATTTAATCCGCCTACTCTCCTTAATAAATAATAACTGTCTTTTGTATCTTCACCGTTGCACTTGAATAGCTCTGGCAATAGGCAATAAAATATTTTTTTTTAATAGTACAAAATAATTTTATTTGTAATTTCGGATAAGATTTTTAATCATTACACCACGTGTCATTATCCAAAAAGACAATTATTGGTGATGGATTTCCATATCTAATGTCGTCGTGCCACATGTCATTACCTTTTCAGAATCTTTGAAAATAGATTTCTATCAGATTTTTAACGAATGACGGCATGTCAAATGGATCTACAACCTAATCCTTTATTAATCCTCCATATAATCTAGACCTAGCATTCGTGTCGTGTTTCTCGTGTTCGTGTCATTTTCGTGTCATACCCGATAGCTTAACGGATCTTGTCGTGTAATACCCGTTAAAGTAAACGGATAATATGACCCGACCCGAAATATTATCAGGTAATATGACCCGACCCGTTACCTGTTAAGAAAAATATATTTTAAATCAATAAAAATGAAAATGAAAAACATAATTTGACCCAAAAAAAATTTAAAACATAATACTAAATTAGTGTATACTTACTAAATTTTGGAATTGACCCCCTTCATGAAAGTTGTAAAGCTTTTCATTACAAGTGATTACATTTTTCACACTTCTACAATAATTTTTATTCATTTTATTCATTTTGCACTCAAATAAAAAACATTGTTCATGAGATTTGGAGGGTTTTAAAAAACCTAAACGATCATGTAACTATCGTAAAAGCGTTGAGGATGCAATTATGAACTTTTATTATGCTTTCACATATTTCAAACTTATACATTAATGATTATGAATTTTGTTTATTTTGAACTCCCTTAAAATTACTATTCATGATAGTTTGTAATGTTTTAAAAATTCAAACGATCATATACCCATCCTCAAAGCGTAGAGGATGCGAATACGAGCATTTGCATATTTTTTTCATATTTTTCGTACATCTAAATTAATTATTATAATTTTTTTTAATGTGTTTGGTATTTTTAAATTACTTGATACTTTTATTTTTAATGTGTTTTATGATTTTTAATCTCAATCTTTGCTTATAATATCCTATAAAAATAAATAAATAAATAAAACTTACATTTTAAAATTTATATAGAATAATAATTAATAAACAATATATACATATTCATTATATCTATTGTATTTTATAGTAAGTTTTTTTAGTAGTTTAAAAAATTGGAATCATCAAAATAACTTTTTTCTTATCGTGTCGAAACAGGTTACCCGCGTGTCACTCTAGTGTAAACCTGTTAAGGACCCGTTATTAACGGGTTATTATCGTGTGACCCAATAATGACCCGATTAGTTATCGTGTTGATCTGAAACCCGTTATTTTCGTGTCGTGTCAACGGGTCGTGTAAGAAATTGTCAGGTCTAATATAATCCATCATCCATCCTCTAAAATCTCACACCAATTTTCTCAAGATCTCTATCATTATTCATAGTTTTCGCTTCCTTCTTCACCAAAATCAAAATTTGTATCATTATTCATAGTTTCTACTTCCTCGTTACAATATCTTTTTCTTCAAAGATGATGTGGGAAATCGATCAGCAAGAGGAAGAATTGTTTAACCAATCAGAAGGAATGTTACCCAAAATAAGATTAAAGATGATGAGGAGCGTAGAATGAGAGATGACAAAGCAAGAATGGGTAGAGCCTCACATTCCCGTCGAGTCATCCAAGCTGTGGGTCAGATCTGCAGGCCTAGCCGTTCCGCAAACCTTGATAAAAGTAGGCAACGACGAGGTACACATATCTTCGATGATTATTTTATCTGTAATAGTACATTCCCTGATACGTACTTTAGACATCGTTTTAGAATGGAACGACATTTGTTCAACAAAATCATGATTGCTGTTTGCAACCATGATTCTTACTTTGTGCAAAAGAAAGATGCTTTTGGTGCTATGGGTCTCATTCCTGAGCAAAAAATTATTGTTTCCTTGCGGATGCTTGCATTTGCAGCATCTGCAGACCAAGTGGATGAGATAGCAAGGATGGGGAAATCAACCATCCTTGAGTCCCTTATAAGGTTTTGCAGAGCAATCGAATCTATATACATCGCAGAGTACCTCTGAAAACCTACTCACATGGACTTGCAACGGCTTCTGAAGAAGGGTGAGATGCGAGGTTTTCTTGGGATGATTGGAAGCATCGACTGTATGCATTGGACCTGGAAAAATTGTCCAAGTGCATGGCAAGGCGCTTATGGGGATAGAAAAGGAGTAAAAAGTATAATTTTAGAGGCGGTGGCATCTTTGGATACATGGATTTGGCACGCATTTTTTGGGATTCCGGGAGCTCAAAATGACCTCAATGTCTTTGCCCAAGCCCCAGTGTTCAACGATGTCCTGCAAGGAAAGGCACCAAAAGTCATGTCTAGGTCAACGGACGTAAGTACGACGGGCCATATTACCTAGTAAATGGCATTTACCCAACGTGGTCAACGTTTGTCAAAACAATGCCACGTCGGCAAAGTGCAAAAGAAAAACACTTTGCAAGCTGTCAAGAGAGGTGCAGGAAGGATGTGGAGCGTTGTTTTGGTATCCTCCAAGCTCGATGGGCGATTGTCAGGGGTGCTACCCTAATGTTTGATGTATAGTCAGTTCGATCCATCATGATGACGTGCATCATTCTTCACAACATGATTGTGGAAGATGAGTACGATTATGATGTTGTTGATGAATATGAGCCAGACACGATGAACAATTCCAAAACACAAATATATTGTGCTCATGACGCCACCGAAGAACCCATACAACATGAGCTATTAGAAAGGGATGGACGTTACAATGAAATGCTCATTCAATGATATACTACACTTCAAAGGCCATATATTCACAATGCACAACAAATTAACTTGATAGAGCACCAGTGGCAATTGAAACAAGCTCAAGATACTTAAGTTCATTTAGTGTGTTTGTTTTTATTTGGTGTGTTTATTGAATTTTATTTGGTGTGTTTTTTTTAGTTCATTTAGTGAGTTTTTTTTATTTGGTATGTTAATGTAATTTTATTTGATGTGTTTAAGTCATTTGAATAAAGATTCTCCTAGTATAAATAAATTACCAAATTAAACAAATTTACTCTCACGTTAAATAAAGTACAAATTCAATAAATTGGAAACAATATAAAATACTCTATTCAATAAATAATAAATTACAACCCAAAGTGCTCTATTCATCATCACTTAACCAATTTGTGGTGTTAGGATGATCTTTTCTTGTCGTGCTAGGACCATCTCCTCTTGCTCTCGCTTCTCTTGCACGCCTCATTCGCACCACATCCGCTTTCTCCGACTTCCAAAAATATTTAGAATTTGGTGACTTCCCTTCTAAAGGCATGTTCATAATGTCACGATCTCGTTGAGCCATTCTTTCTTCTCTAACATGTTCCCTTTCTTGCCTAAGTAGCTCTATTTCTCTCTCATTAGCTTGAAATGCTCTCTCAACAGCTACAACTTTTGCCTCCTCTATAGCCTTATCAGCCTCAAATTTCACCATTTCCCGGGCCAAAGTCAATTCACCTTGGCAAGCAAGTTCTTCCATATACTTTGCATAATCATTCTTGGAAGCACTCCATTTTCTCTTTGAAGCCTTCTTACCTTGAGGCCTAATTGGATAACGGGTCGACCCTGACACTTATTCAGGGGGGGCGTTTCGGGCACTTCTTCTACGTCATCTTCATGAACATGCCCACCGGTTGAATGATCAGGTGTAGAGGGTGCTATTCATGAAAACTTCTGGACCGACATGCACAACTCTGAATTAAGGACAATCTTTAACAATATTCCTACATTCCCACCGGGTGAATAATTTATTTTTGCTTTTGGTTTTAGCATTATACCAAGCTTGTGCTTGAAGTTCCTACACAATGCAGGAGAATAAATAATTATAATGAAAGTAGGTAACAAATAAATAATACAAACAAATAATTATAATCAAAGTAGCTAACAAATAAATAATATATTGTTACTTGATCCGTTAAATTTTCCCCACTTCGAAGATTACCACTAGTTTGTGCCAAGGCGTCTCTCCGCGTACTAAACGATTGGCTAAGTAATTTCCAACGACTGGATATCGATTCTGATGTGAAAATTAACTTGACACACAAATTAAACCCTATTAAACATGTAATTGTAGTATTAGGCAAGTAGGGATCATTCTAGACTAGGGATTAACTAGGGCTGCTAATCAACACAAATAAGACTAAAAAACACTAAACTAGACTCTATAGACTCAAAACTGACTCAAAACACTTAAAACAGCAACAAACAATAAAAAAGACTCAATTATAGACCTAACGAGTGGTTTTGACCAAAATAAGACTTAACTTGACTCAAAAGACTAAAAGAAAACAGATTATGACTCAACTAACAAGACTTAATGAAAGGGGGATTGTTTTTGACGAATTTAAAACTCAAAATAGAAACTTTGCATAAAACACTTTAAGAAAATGAATTTGGTGAATTAAAAAGGGTAAAAGGCTAGTTAGAGGGTCCTTCTCCACACATGACATATGCAAACAAACCAATTTCCATTTATTATTCCCTTAAACTATGAATGACAACACCCCAAGTTAACCGTGATAGCACAAATTAACCATCAGATTTTCCTTATTTCATTGAATTGGACGGGATACGCATCACAACCAAATTATCTTTCTCAAGTCCCCTAACTATAAAAAGCATGATAGAAAACATATCAAAGGTCATTAAGTTCTTTGAAAATCATAAGCATTGACGAGGCATTCATAACTATGAAAAGCATGATACTTCTGCCCAGGATTTTAACACAATCATGACTAGTGACTTTTATTACTTGTGAATATAAGTTCATAACGATTAGGTGAAACTCCCTTACACTCTAGCATCAAGCTTATGCATGCAAACTAAGTATGCATCCTCAATCAACATACATAAACAAGTTTTAAT